GATCTGGAACATGCACAGACTCTTTCAAAAAATAAAAAAAAAAAATGAGGGAATATTTCCAAATACACGTTATGAGCTGAACATTAATACCAAAACATACAAATATGTCATAAAGAATTAAAACTGCAGACCAATCTCTCTATGAACACAGAAAACTCCTCAAATATTCTTAGCAAACTGAATCTAACAATGCACTGGAATTATTGTACATCTTGACCAAGTGGGATTTATACCACAATACAGGGATAGTTCATCATCCATATTTTAATCAATATAACTCACCATATCAACAAAAAGGAAAGAGAAAAATCTTATGATCTTAGTAGTAGATACTGAGAAAGCATTTGATATTATTCAGCATCAATTTATGATGAAGTGCATAAAAAAGTGGTAATAAATGGAACCATATCTTAAAAATAACGTAAGACATATATTACAAACCCATGGCCAGTATCATTCTCAAGGATGAAAAACTGTATAGTAAAAGAAACAGTGACCAAAACAAAAAGACGCCCTACTGAATGAGAGAAAGTATTTGCACACCACACATTTGATAGGGGATTGATATTAAAGATCTATAAAGTTCTTAGACAATTCAACTAAAACAAAAGAATCCAATCAAAGAATGGGCAGAAGAGCTAAATAGGCACTTCTCCAAAAAAGTCATGTAGATGATCAACAGACATATGAAAAAATTGTCATGATCACTTATTATCAGGGAAATGCAAATCAAAACCATAATGAGATATGACTTCACACCTGTGAGCATGGCCCATATCAGAAAAAAAAAAAAAAAAACACAAATTAGCACTGGGGAGGGCGTGGAGACAAAGGAACCATCATACACTATTAGCGGGAATATGGGCTAGTCCAGACCATATGGAATGAAGTGTGCAAGTTCCTTAAAAGAATAAAAATGGATTTACTATAAGTATATATGGACTCTAGAGAAACCAAACAAAGCATCAAATAAACACAAACATAAGACTGGCCCTTGAAAGAAGACCATAGATCTGAGACACGCAGTGGGTGGCGTGGGGAGAAGAAGAGTATGAGGGAGTGGCATTATAGTAATATATAGTGAGAACCCCAAAGACTTCACATAAAGACTAACCAATACAATAATCCAATTCTGCAAAGTGACAGGATACTAAATCAACATAAAAAATCAATTATCTTCATATATTCAGACAATATGCTAAAAGTAGAAAAAATTAAGAAAGTCATTTCATTTAAAATCTCACCAAATGAAATTAATACTTAGGAATACATTTAATAAAGAATGTGAAGGACCTATATACTGAAGAGTATAAAACATCGTTAAGGAAAATTAAGAAGACATGAAAAGTTGGAAAGATATTCCTTGTTCTTGGATAGGGAGAGTCAACATTGTTAAAATAACTCTCCTGTTCAAAGCAATTTGCAGGTCCAATGCATTCCCAATGAAAATCTCAATGGCATTCTTCAAAGACATGGGATTAATAGTAATGAAATTCACATAGAGCCAAAAACACCCCACATAGCCAGAGCTGACACATCAGAAAAGGGATGAATGGGGGTATCACATTTACAGAATTCAAACTGTACTATAAAGCCACAGAATTAAAACAGCATGGCACTGGAACAAAAACAGACAAACGGACCAAAGGAATAGAACTGAGAGTCCAGAAATAAAACCACAAATTTATGCATTACTAATCTTCAATAAATGGTGTTGGGGAAACTGAATTGCCACATGCAAAAGAATGAAACAAGACTTCTTTCTCACACCATACATGAAAATCAACTCCAAATGCATGAAAGACTTGTATCTAAGACCTTGTATATAAAGAACTTGGACTACATCAAACCTAAAAGCTTTTGCACAGTGAAAGACAGTAACCAAAACAAAGAGACATCCTACGAATGGGATAAAATATTTGTACATCATACATCTGTAAGGGACTGATATCATAGATCTGCAAAGAGCTTATGAAACTGAATGAAAATAAAACAAACAGCCTGATCAAAAAGTCGGCAGGGCCTCCCCTGGTGGCGCAGATGGTTGAGCATAGTGCTGTGAAGCTGTCTGCAGCCTCTGCAGTGCAGGTTAGATCCCACCGGCTGGTGAGGTTCCCACATGGTGTGTCAGACCTCTCTTGTTGCACCCGCTGCTCCCCTCAGCAGTGTATTTCGTCGGTCTGCCTGTTCTGTCTGTTCTGTTCCCCGTTCTGTCTCTGGTGAATCCTCTCACCCTCCCACGCATCTGGCCTGTACCCTGGTTCTTGTATAAATAAATAAATAAATCTTAAAAAAAAATTGGGCAGAAGAGATAAATAGGCATTTCCCTGAAGAAGACATGCAGATGGCCAAGAAACATATGAAAAAATGTTCATCATCACTTATTATCAGGGAAATGCAAATCAAAACCACAACGAGGTACCACCTCATACCTGTGAGAATGTCCCATATTAAAAACAAACAAACAAACAAACAAAACAACAAGTGCTGGTGAAAGTATGAAGAAAGAGGAACCTTCTTAAATTGTTGATGGGAATGTAGCCTGCTCCAGTCCCTATGGAAAGTTGTGTGACCGTTCCTCAAAACAGTAAAAATGGGTCAGCCATATGACCCAGCAATTCCACTTCTAGGTATCTACCAAAGAACACAAAAACATTAATTCTAAAGGAAACCTTCAACCTTATGTTTATTTAAGCACTTCTTACAAGAGCTAAGGTATGAAAAACAATGTAAATGCTCAACAGAGGAGTGAATGAAGAAGATGTGGTATACACACACACACAAACACACACGTATACATACACACTCAGGGATCAACAAAGATATAACTCATGCCATTTGTGGCAATATGGACGGCGTTGGAAGGGATTATACCAAGGAAAAATGCATGAGGGAGAAAGATAGCACTGGATGGTTTCACTCATATGTGGAATATAGCGATACCAAACAAAAGGTCAGACAAAGAAAAACCTTAAAAGCTGACTATAGACCTAAGGCATCCAGAAGGGGATGGGGAGGTTGTGATGAAGGGATGAAATCAGGAAGGGGAAGAGCACATTAGACTATGACTAAGGCTACCAGAATAGGGATGTGGTGAGGCTGGAAGAAAGGGGTCCAAATGGTGATTATTGGGGCTTTTATGGTGTATGTGATGAAATAACATACATCTGTAGAGGTGTAAACCTGTGCCAGTAAGACGTATCATGATGTAAATCAACATTGCCTCAACAAATATAGCTTTTAAAAATGTAAGTATAGAAAATAAAGATAGTAATACTTGTAAACTTTTACCAGTTATATAAATCTAGAGGACCTAACTTTTGTGAACTTACTTTTTTAATCCAAAAATCAATGCTATTTTCCATAAAAACTAGTTTATCCCCTTAAGTTTCTCCACTAATTATTATAATCACTGGATTTATTTGAATTTCTTCTACCACTTATAGCATATGTAGCCCTCCTAGTTTGTTTTTTTATGTACTGAAGTACTCATATATTTCTTGCCCAAACCGGACACCTGTTTAGAAAATTTTAAATGAGAAATTTACACAAAGCTTGCAGATTTTCAAAGGCTTTTTCTTTAAAATTAAATAAACAAATGTGACTCTTTAGTGTATACACTATTTGTGCTGAGTACAATGGCCACTTTCGTAGATCTATCTTTTTTCACTACCAGAAATAATATGTGGTGCAGGATACTGAGTGATTGTCTCAATCTTTCGGTCATCTGTACAGTTACTTCACAGTATATATGACAGTTGCCAGAACTCAGTATTGTCCTGGATTTTCAGAGTAAAATTTTTATATTCATTTGTAGTAACACTTGAATTAAAATAATTGTGATTAACATTTAATCATACCAGGTGTGATTTAATCATGATCAAATTTGCAAGAAGTCCACTTCTACATTTTTCTCCAGTTCAGGGTGAAGATAGGGCCAATATGTCTTTCTGGACATATTTTAATTCTCCTTTTACTTATCTCTGTAGAAGAAGAAACAATTTGCAGGAATACCTTAGTCTAAATTCAAATCAATATCTGCAGATATTCAGCTTTGTAAAAATAAAAAAAAATCTCATGTTCATGATATTCATGAACAAGATGAATATATCTTCTCCTCTAAAGTTCTGAAGAATTTTAATCTTTTTTCCCCCAAGGGAAATAATACTGTGCTATTCTACTTCTCTTTCATTATTTCTAAAGTTAAAGTCTCTTTACCTCCAGGATAGTTTGACCTAATAGTGAAATTGGTATCCATATTTTGGTGTACAGATATCTTCTTGGGCAAGAATAAGATGTAGCATGATCATTCAGGAGCCAGTTTCAAAGATGAAGGACAAATAGTACTGGTATCATTACTGTTTCTGATGATTAACTAGGAATACTAATTCTTAGCATGCATTAATGTGAATGGTCTTTGCAGATTTTGAGTGATGCTGCAATTAAATTCTATTAAAAGACTGGATACAACACACTCCAGGGTGGTGTTGCACATTTCCAAAGGAATGGCAGCTGTTGGTACTTTGAATGTCACTGCTTAAATTCATTCATATCAAATGTCATATATATGAGTTAATAATCACCAAATTCACATTGGCACAGCTTAGACCCTGTCTTCTAGGAGCATAGAAGCTAAAGGGATTCTGAAATGGAAAAATAATTATAGTCCTGTAATGAGGATTAACAAATCATTACCAACATTATATTTGTACAGTCACAGAACTAGGAGTTAGTAGCAACTGGAATGCATTCTCATTTTCTTTTTGTTTATTCTAGTAGTTATTGCTCATAACAGACACCACTAAACAATTCTCCTGTCTTTTAGAAATTGTTATATAACTAATTTTTCTCTACTTTCAGTTTTGACCTAGTCAAATGCTGTTGAATATTAGAAGGATTTCTGCTCACCTGGTTTCCTGATCTCCATAGTGCCTAGAGATTGAGGATTTCCTCTTTCCCACCAAGAACAGCTCTCATGGTCCCGCTGCTCTGTTTTTCAGAATTCCGCTACAATGACCTGGTGTCCCCCTTCTACCTCAGCCTCATCGCCAATTTATCTGGATGTACAGCCCATAGGCATATGCCAAACTGCTCTGACATGTGTTTTCATCAGAAGTACCGAACCCAGGATGGAACGTGCAACAATCTCCAACACCCAACTTGGGGTGCGTCTATGACCGCGTTCCAGCGCATCCTGAAACCTGCCTATGAGAATGGCTTCAACTTACCCCGTGGGGTGGGGCGTCATATCTTCCCTAATAAGGATCCCCTTCCACTGCCAAGACAGGTCGCAGCAGAGTTGGTGGCCACAGCGACGGTCACCCCTGATGACAGGTACACGCACATGCTCATGCAGTGGGGCCAATTTTTGGATTACGACTTGGATCACACGGTGCCTGCGTTGAGCACGTCTCGCTTCTCTGATGGGCAGCCATGCAGTTCCGTGTGTACTAACGATCCTCCTTGCTTCCCCATTTTTATTCCTCGCACTGACCCGCGGGCGACCCAAGCATCATGCATGTTCTTTGCACGCTCCAGCCCCGTGTGTGGCAGCGGCACAACCTCCTTGATGATGAATTCAGTCTATGCCCGGGAACAGATTAACCAGCTCACAGCTTATATCGATGCCTCTAATGTTTATGGTAGTACAGAGCGGGAATCCCTCCTTCTCAGAGACCACTCAGAGCCCAGGGGACTCCTGAGGACAGGCTTACTTTGGGCCCCTTCTGGAAAGCCCTTATTGCCCTTTTCTACAGGACCATCCACGGAGTGCACAGGGCAGGACCCAGACAGCAGCGGCCCCTGTTTCCTGGCTGGGGACCACAGAGCCAACGAGCAGGTGGCACTCACTGCCTTGCACACCCTCTGGTTTCGAGAACACAACCGGGTGGCTTCGGAGCTGTCTGCCCTGAATCCCCACTGGGATGGAGATACTCTTTATCACGAAGCCAGGAAGATTGTAGGTGCTGAGCTGCAGCACATCACCTACAGCCACTGGCTGCCCAAGATTCTGGGGGGCCCGGGCATGAAGATGTTGAGGGATTACCAGGGTTATGATCCCAATGTCAATGCAGGGATCATTAACTCTTTTGCCACTGCAGCCTTCAGATTTGGCCACACATTAATCAATCCTGTTCTTTATCGACTGAATGACACCTTTGGTGAAATTCCTGAAGGCCACCTTCCACTCCACAGAGCTTTCTTTTCACCTTCGAGAATAATCCGGGAAGGTGGGATAGATCCCCTTCTTCGCGGGCTATTTGGTGTGTCGGCTAAATTGCGCATGCCTTCTCAACTTCTCAGCTTGGAGCTGACTGAAAAGCTGTTCGCCTCCGCACATTCTGTGGCACTGGATTTGGCTGCCACCAACATTCAAAGGGGGCGAGACCACGGCATCCCGCCATATGTTGACTTCAGAGTTTTCTGCAATTTGTCTTATGTTCAGAACTTTGAGGACCTTCAGAACGAAATTAAAAATTCAGAGATCAGACAAAAACTGAAAAAGTAAGTATGCAAATGTTACCTGGATTTAAGCATTTCTGAGGGAAGTGGAAGTGTTATAGGATGATGGCATTTAGTTTCTTGGTGATGTTATTTCAGAGTTGTTAGAAATTGCTTTTGTGGGAGAGGTTTTATAATGAAGGAAGAATTCTCCAGGAACTTGAATCTTTCCTTTACACCTTTATTTATTCACTTCCTTTGTAAATTGAAATACATTTGCCTCCTATAAACGTGTGAGCACATCTCAATTAGGAGAAGTTGGAAAACCCAGTTCATTCATGTTCTAGAATAATGTAAGATTTTTTTATTGGTATAAATTCTTGTGTATACCCTTGTATTGTGTAGCTGGACCATTCATAGAGACTTTCAAAGGCAGTACAAATTAGCAAAATGAAAATGAAAATTATTTTGTGTTAAAAGAACAAATCTAAATTTATCATCAGACTGTAAGTCAGGACCCTTTCACTACTTTCACTAATGCCTTTCAGTAAAGTTTTATTCTTTCTATAAGTGAGATTCAAATACTCTTTGAAGTTGCATGTGAAATATTTCCAGGAAAAAAAAAAACTTTTAATTGATCCCATTCTCAGCAGTACTTATCCCTTATAATATTTTTTTAAATAAAGAAAAGTTTCATCAAGATGATTTGTCTTTAGTTGGCTAAATATAGAAGGCTGATATATTTTCTAACTGATTGAAGTATACTAATATGGAATCTTCTGGGGAATTCAAATTGTTTGTAAATTCTGTGGTCAATTGTCAATATTAGGCCCTAATACTAGGGATATAAATATTTTTATGCCATGAAAATTTGTCTCATACTTAATATATAATATCAAGCTGTGAGAATGAGTAATATATTTAAAACAAATCAGAGTGTCATGCACATTGAATTTTCAGGTTTCTTCTGGAAAGAAACCTGGCTTTGGAGTCATAGGGACATAGTTTAAACCTCTGATCCACCACCTATTAGTGCTGAGAACTTGTGAAAAGTAAATATTTTGAATCTCAGAATATCTATAAAATGGGAAAGTACTGTCTCCTCAGAGTTGCTTAAAGCTTGAATTATAGAGTATGTGTCAGTTACCTAACCCAATTGAGATATATCACTGGTGATCAACCCATGTTACCTATGAATCGATAGTTTATTATACACTGCCATTTCAGTTGTCAGCATCATGATTACATTGCATGTCTGCTATGGCCCAGCCCTGTGCTAGGCACTGAAACCTGAGAGGAAGAAAATAGCACCCATGCTCTGGGGTGCCTGACACCGTGTAGGGTAGACAGGAAGCTGTTATAATCAGTGTGCAAAGGGCTGTCCCAGAGATGGAAATTGAATATCACAGAAGCACAGATCTGCATGGAAAGTAGATAGATGATTCGCAGGTAGCTATTGATGAAAGACACCATTTGATTTGTTCTTGGAATTTTCTGAGTATGATAAATAGCAGACTATCCCAGGGAGAAGGGTGGAAGAGGAAAATGTCGGACTGAGTGGCAGGAGGAAGGACTAGAATGGTGATAAGGAGAGGCATCTGTGTTTAATTCAAGAGCAGGAGAGTGGCATAACGGGATATTTTTCCATGAAATGGTGAATGGTAAGAATTTGAAAGATGCAATGGAAAATGTTGCAGCCAGTAGTAAGGAAGTCCATTTACTGTAGTAGTCCTGGTGAAGAAAGAAGACAACTTAAGCTAGCTGTGGTAGTTTATATATACTATCAGTATTTTAAAGGTTTGCTATAGGCACATTATTTGCATTGAATAAAACTGCAGGCAAGTCTTGCTTTGTAATTCATTTGAGTCCTTCTTATCAATTCACAGCTAACTCGTAAATTCACTACAAATTATTGAAAACCACAAGGGTTTCCTATTAAAATTTTCTTATCACAAGATCCTCCTAAATTCTTTGGTGTTAATGAGAGATAGGGTAGCCTGTTTGTGGTCGCCTCATGAGTGTTAGGTTGACGTCTAGATATGAGCCCTTCACTCCAGGCCTGGTAGTTGATGGCAAGCATGGCTGGCCTTCCAGTGGAGTGGCCAGAGACAAGGCTCAGTAAGCCCTCAGGTCTGAATTTCTTTGTGCTCCTGTAATGCAGTTGGTATCTTACCAGTGACTTCTGAAACCTAGCAGGGGAGGTATCATCCTTGTTGTAGGGAATGTCTGAACAAGAAGAACTTCTCGCAGTCTGATGCATCTACTCTGATGAGTTGAGCAGGGCTGATGTAGTGCCAGCAGGAAGGACGCAGAACAAGATCTCTATGATTCTATGCAGACAGGTAAAGGAGGAGTCCTGGAGCCCTCAGTGGCTTTTTTGGGCTTTTTTTGAGTTTACCAGGTACACTGCAGGGAATCTTTACTCTTCTTGGGCTCTCCAGGGTTCTCTCTTGGCCTCTGCTTCTTTGCTGGTCCTGCTCTTGTTTTTTCTCATGTGGTAGTCCTGTTCTGTGAGGCCGCCTTTATAGGCCCAGTCTCAGCCCAGGTAAACCCACCTACATATGCCCACATCCTCCTCCAGGTGCCCGCCATCAGGCATGCATTCAGGGCCACAGGGATCCATCATTAATCCTAATGGCAGGAGGGCAGAAATGCCTGATAATCATTCAGTCATTTTTCCTACAGCTGGTAAGTGTGAAATGTGCAGGGACAGGGGCCTGAAGTGCCTTCTTTTCCCTTGGGATGCTAACAAGTCCAACTTTCCCCTTGATTCATAGCAAATTTATAAAATATCAACCTTAGAGTCATTCAATTAGGAGCATAAAATAAAGAAACTGGAGGGTTTTTATAGTTTCTAGCTTCAAATCCACAGATTTCAGTTTATCAGGAACTCCTTATGCCTATGAAATGGTATGACTTTAAATATACTAACTTATGTCCCTTTTCTTCACTGTTCCAGTTACTTCTTTTCCTTTTTGTGTTAATATGCAAGTTTAACTATAATACAGCAATGAGCCAGAACTTAACTGGGGCTCTTCAAGAGAACTGCAATCCATCTGCCATAATTAGGGCAAGTTGTGTGAGTGTTCTTATGTGCATTGGCAGAGCTGCCTCCTGGAAGGAGACTGCTAAAATTCTTTGAATGGGGAAAGAAACCCAGGAAAAAGACAGAGATGCATGCATGTTAGGGAAGTGATAGACTGTCCTCTTTGAAGCTAGGATCTGATACCATTTGCTGATTTCTGTGAGGACCCTAGTACTATTTCTCCAATCTCAACAAATACCTAGAGTGAGAAATGTTGTCTTAAAGGTGGGTGATGTAACTCTTGTAAATCTACTTTACTAAGTGTTCAAGTAAATTTGTATAAGCTCAAGTACCATAATGGACTATTAACTGCTTTTTGGATATTCCATTTATCAATTTAAATTCCACAATTTTGTAGTCATCTTTAAACAAGTATGGTTTTAGGAGTTTATTTCTAAACCACTTCAATCAATTTTGGATATGGATAAAATATATATTAGTGGATTTTAGAACAGGGACCTTTCTTCAGTAAAGACTGCTTGAAACTGGCAGAAAGCTCCCAGAGGAGCCAGAGGTGAGCTAGGAAGTTCGCCCACACCAGGCCCCTTCTGGCCAGTAGTCCGAGCCCAGAGGGGAGCAGGCACCCACCACCTGGGCAAACCGGGCACGCAGGAGAGTGCATCTCTGCGTCGCCATTTTAGAACAGGGACCTTTTTTCAATAAAGTCTGCTTGAAACTGGCAGAAGGAGGGGGGCGGAGCAACATGGCGGCAAGGAGACGCTGCGAGTAAGATCTCCCATTAAAAAAAGTGAATAGGGAGGAAAAGCGGCAGGTCCCAGTGAGAACTGGGACACGGAAGATAAACGGGTGACGCCAGCGAACTGCCCGAAGAAGAAAGTGGCCATAAAAGAGGACCAGAAGGGAGGGAAGCGCAGAACCCTGCTCCCCTCCCCCGCCCACAGAGGCGGACTCTCCGACCGGCAGAGAGGAGGAAAACAACAAACTAAAATGACCAACAAGAAGAAACGACGCAGCAAGCGGGACTGTGAGTGGAAAGGAACTATTTCAGCCACCACACCCCGTGAACGGGAGCTGTGGAGAACCCCGCAGGATCCGCCATGGCGGTGAGCGAACGGCTCCCGGCGTCATTGAAGAGAGACCCCGCCCAGGAGGAGACCAGCGCCAGCACACAGCCCCGGGCCGCCCGGTAAGCCTGCTCGGAAAGGTGGCGCGCTGGAAAAACAGGCGCTGATCGAGGTCAGGATTGCGCGGAACAGCGGCGCGCTGGAAAACCAAGTGCGGATCGGGATCGCGCGCGGAAAAGCAGTGCAGTTGAAAAGCAAACGCGGATCCAGATCGCAGCTGCCCAGGTCCCTGCGCCTGCGACCTAGGCTTGCAGGGAGACTCGCGGAGGCCCTCACTGAGTGAGCAGGCCCAGGCGCCCAGGCACGGGAGCGGGATTCAAAAGGCGCCATTCCCGCACCACTGAACTGGGCTACAGCCTGAGTCCTGGAACTGAGGGCTTTGGAACTGACACCCGGGGCACGAAACTAGGGGCGTGGGTTCCCCACGATGGTGGGGCACAAGGCAGACAAAGCACCCCAAAGCCGTTGAGGTTTACCCTACCATTCCCGCTCTATTCCCTGTCCCACGGGGTGGAAAATCAGCTCCCCAAGGGCTCCAGGAGAGATCTCTGGCGCCACCTAGCGACTTGAAGCCAGCAGAGGCGCCTAAAGGAGCCAGTGGCCAGCTGGGGAGTTAGCCCACGCCGGGCCCCTTCCGACCAGTAGTCTGAGCCCACAGGGGGAGCGAGCACCCACAGCCGGGGCAGGCCAGGCGCGCAGAAGAGTGTGCCTGAGACCGGACGCACAGGGAGTGTGTCCCACATCACCATCTTAGAACAGGGACATTTCTTCAGTAAAGACTACCTGCAGAAGGCTTCCTCAGGAGCCAGAGGTGAACGGGGGAAGTTCGCCCACGCCAGACCCCTCTGGCCTGCAGTCCAAGCCCAGAGGGGGAGCAGGAACCCACCGCCGGG